AACTAGTTTAAAAAAGGCTGCCTCCTTCTTCTTAAGAACCCTCTCCTTTCCTATATGCCTGGTCTTCATTCTGCCTCTGAGTTTAAGAGTTAGTAATTCCTACTTGAACCTCACATTTATTCTTTGCCTAGCTTTCTTAATCTCAAATATTAAATGATCTATAAGCTAATATACTGAATCCTTTATATAACAAAGCTCTCTCTGTAATGCAAATAATCACTCTATAATTCAGTCATGTTGTACATGTGAATTTTCGTAAAGTGGCCTACCCCAGTTACACAAGGAAGCACTTTTCCCAGGAAGTAAAAAGGCAACTGGGACATGCTGAAAGGGAGCCTGGATAGTCGATTAGCACAGGTGGAATGTTGCTTATCTTCCTAAGGGTCTTTCTCCCTGCTGATCTCTTCCTTCCTGTTTGCCTTTGATAGATGTTTAGGATTAGATAGGTAACCTGGGAATGATTCATGTGAAATTGAAGGTCAAAATTTATTGACACATATCATTTTACTAGACTATGGGTAAATAATCTCCTATGGGGGGAAAAAACTGGGTTTGGGTTTCCCCAACAATTTTGAACATTAAATCAACTAGTATAGTTTTGATTGTAAGGAAACTTTTCTATTATACTCTTTTAAATCACAAAATTATTTTTCCATATTTTGTATAATGTTCCAAAGAAACCATTCAAATACCTCTTTGAAAGAAGACATTAGGTAGGAGTATTTCAGCTTTGGAGACTTGCATGTAGTTACTTAAAACATTGTAAATATTCCCCTCGTCCTTGAAATGCACCATATAAATATTGCATTTGATCCTTAACTTACACTTCATAAATAATTTATTTCAAAAATATTCCTCCATAAGACCATCGGTTGCTGAGGTGTTCAGTTTTCGGGGAAAGCATTTATTTACTGCATGAGCTGAGGAAGGCTGGTAAAGACTTGGCTAAAAGCTCCACGTGGAGCAAATTATGGTAATTATATTAATGCTCAAATCCATGACGCTCAATGCTCAAATCTGTTAAAAGGTTTTGTGCTATACTGCCCACATCTTGACGGGCAATGAGGCCACTGAAAATGCTTAACACTTTACAGGGAGACTTCCGAGATTCATTTTTCATAGTTCCAAGAACTGTTGAAGAATGTCTGGAGGTGGCTTCCAGAGGAGTTTCTGAAAGTCACAACTGAGAGTAAATGTCTTCTGCCTCAGGTTCAGACCGAAACTCCAAGCTCAAGTGCCCGGAAATGGAAATCAAAGGAAGCTTCCCACAGTTAATTTTGACGAACGGATGAGTTTTAATTCGTGTTTGGCAATATTCTGGTTAATGATGTCTCCTTTGCACATCCATTAAAAACCCATTAACTTAACAGGCAAAATCTAATAAAGTTACCCTGGAAATTTTCTGCTAGATTAACATTATGGACTTTAAATGAAAATTTCTGTAGGTATTGCTCTATTAGCAGAACTAATATACTAGTGAAACATGTACCTCATGTAAGATGGGGAAATGAAGAAAAGTGTTAAAATAATCAGAAAAGGAGATGACTTGAGGCTCAAGTTGTCAAAGATTGCTGAAGCCATTAAGTACCCTCATCACAACTTTTAAAAGCAAGAAGCATCAACCTCCAAGTAGGAGGTTGATCTTGATCATAAATTTATCCACTTACCAATCAAATAGTAATTTAGCTATAAAAATGTCATGCTTTCTGCTAGTACTGGAAAGACAAATGTAAATAAATGAAAATTCTTGTGCTTAAGAGCTCACAGTCCAGTATGGAATCAAGATATATAAACAAGTAATCAAGGTGTTAAGCATTTCCAGTACTATTCTAAAGCTAATATCTAACACAACTCAGGAAACTCAGGGAAGAACAAGTAATTTTGGGGGACATACTAACTTTAAAAATCACTTAACTAATTAAATGGAAAAGTGTGTTCCAGTTAAATATTAGTTTCTTCTAGGTCCTCACATTAGGAAGGTTTCAATCCTGACATCACTTGTTGGTTCTATGCAAGCTTAGATAAGGTAAGTCTCTCTGAGCTTCCTCTGTCAATAGGCTAACAGTGCTTTGGTCAGCAGGTGTAAGAACTACATGAGACAAGTATGTAGAACCCAGAAGGGAGAGGAGAATCAGCATTTATTCACTCACAGGCAAGTGCTCTACCATTAAACTACAATCCCAGGCTCATGGTAAGCTATTTTTTAATTACTACCAGACAGGACATTGGAGGTAAAGCAACATTATGAAACTTGTTAACACCATTGGTACTTAGCTCTCAGGTTCAGTGTGTTAGCCCCAATTTGCTTTCCATTCCAGGCCAGAAAGCCCTTTCCCCGGCTGGGGTCTAACAGTTCTTCGTCAAGGCTGGGAGCTCACAGAGAGCCTTCAGACAATCACATTGGGTTCTAAGGACTTAGAGGCCCATTTTAGCCACTAAAGCATCAGTGCCTGGATGTGACTGACTGGATTGTGACCCCAAATTCAGATGTTGAAAGCCATATCCCCTGATGTGATGACTGTAAAAAACAGGGCCTATAAGAAGGTAATTAGGGTTAAATGAGGTCATAAGAGTGGGGGCTCTGATCCAACAGAATTAGCATCCTATTGAGAAAAGACACCAGAGCTCATTCCCTACCCTGATGCACAGAAAGGACAAGTGGGCACACACAGAGATGGCAACCACCTGCAGGCCAAGAGAAGAGGACTCAGAATGAAACCTACCTTGTCAGCACCTTTATTTTGAACTTCCCAGAATCCAGAAGTGTGAGAAGTAGGTTTCTGTTATTTAAGTCACTATGGTAGCCTAGCAGACTGAGGCACTGGGATCCCTTTGCTGCAGTTTCTCTTAATTCTTGCTATCGATTAGTCTAAATTTTTGTGCTTAACCATGCACATTCAGTGAGCAGACTCTTTTTTTAAAAATTTTTTTTTGGTTCTGAGGATAGAACCCATGGCCTCTAACATGCTAGGCAAGCGCTCTACCACTGAGCCACAACCCCAGCCCTCAACAGACTCTTATCAACAACATCTTTGTGCCAACACACTCAGGCGTAAGGACAGTTCTGTCCTCCAGGGGCTTGGCATCTCTTTCCTGTTTGGATGTTCAGTTACCTTGATGGGAGTGAAGCAGTTTAAACTGCTACTCCCACTGGCAGGAGTCCTAACACACCAATAATGGACAGTTTCCCCAGATACCAGGAAGGTAAATGTTTGGCCCTATTTCTCAGCTGCTTTCCCAGTTTCTGGCTCCAAATGGTATCAACATGGAGCACTTTAAGACAAACCACCATATGACTTAAATTATTGATACTTTATTATGCTCTGCAAAGTTGCATTAACTGATCACACTGCAACCCAACTGTACTCCTCCCCAGTCCAGGCATGGACACTTGTCCCAATCTAGCTCAAGTTGGCTCTGGGTACTGCATATCAGACTACTGCCGAATCCCAGTGGAGGCCAGCCACATAGCCACATCCATTCCCTTAGTCTAATATGTCCCATGTAAGAGTCAGACCTGGCACCTTAATAGTGGGTAAAGAGCTGGACCTCAATTTCCCCATCTATCATGGGAATCATGAAACAAATAGATTTGTGGGGGTCAACCAAGGTAATATACATAAATCACCTAACAACATGGAATGTAAATGGTGACTAATGACTGCTGTTTGCTTCCCTCCTCTCTTTCCTTGTTGTAAGCACCTCCCCCATTTTTCCACCTCAGATCCTGTGATGGTTTCAACAAAGCCACAGAAATTCTAGCAGAGCTCTTTCTGCATACCTCCCTGGCTCTGTTCTTTTCTCTAGATGTTGCTATTATTAGTTGAATAGATCATAGACAACATACCAGGATCAGGAGGGTAGATGCTACTTGAATCCTTTGTTTCTATTCTATGTACTTGAATTTTCATAGAGTAGTCCTGGGATTCTACCCAAGATAGGTACATTGAAATGAAATAACTGACTCAGAAATCAAGGTGGTCAGAAATTGTAGCAGACACTACTAGTTTGTCAATACTTAACAGTACAACTTTCAAGATTTAGTGGTCACATAGATGGACACATTCAGCCAATCACTACATTTTCCAGCCACTTCTACAGCCCACCAGGACCTTCTGAATGAATGCTGGTCAATAGGAAGTGGTCAGATAGGAGGTTATGCTGCCCTCAGAAGACTGTACATAATTCTCCTGGTCTCTATTCTTCTTTCTCACTGGCTGGGAATGGATAAGATCTGAAGCAGTTAGTTTGGACTTACTGTTGGAGGTCCTGCTTGGACAATGGCAAAACTGCACTAATAGCTACTTACCTCTGCTCTATTACACAAGATGGAAATGACCTCCTATCCTTTCTACCCTTATTGTTACAATATTTAGCCTGCATGTTAAACAATTCATAACTAGGAATAATTGCTTACCTGATGACAGCTTACTAGAAATTTAAGTAACTGCAATTACTACCTACTAACTGTGAAATGACCTTGTAAACCTCAAACTTTAAAATATCAACTATCATTATCATGTATGTACCTAGGTAAATTTTTTTTTTTTTACCAGGCAAACACCTTAGTCACTCACACCTGTGCCATACAGTTAGTGACACACAGAACTGGAAGTCTGGGACTCAAAAGCTTTGCTCAGCAAGTGCTTGTTCACATTCTATTTTCTGTTTTGTTTTTTTTTTTCCCCCTGATTTGTCTGATTTTGATCTTTTCAGTAGCCTTGACTTGTTCCTTGAACCTAACTCTCAACTATTTCTCTTCTACTCCCTGGAAATATACTATGCATCTCCACTTGTTTCATGCAAGTCCTAATGTGAGGGCCTACATCACAACCTACCCATCATAACTGACTCAGTTGAGACAACTCAGAAAAACTGAGTTAACTTCCTACATTTTAATTCAAACAAAACCAAACCAGTACCCAAACAAATACAAAACTTCACCAATATTCTTACTTGCACATACAAATGGCCATTTTCCAAATTTTCTATTGTTTTACCTATTTTGTTGTAATTATCAGCAACAAAGTCTTCCAAACCAATCATCTTCCAGAAACTGTCATCCCAACCTTTCTCAGCTGAATATGTCCATTTGCATACCAGGGAGCAGAGAGACCTAGGAAAATGACAGGAAAGTAAAAGAAACAACATGAACTATGTTTCCTTCATATTTTGCAAAATACCTGTCTAGCTAGCTGCAGTAGTACTGAGAAAGTGAAATAAGCCAAAGTAATTATGAATCCCTGTTTAAAGCAAAGGTCTGGGCTGGGGTTGTGGGCTCAGTGGTAGAGCACTTGTCTAGCACGTGTGAGGCGCTGGGTTTGATCCTCAGCACCACATAAAAATAAATAAAATAAAGGCATTGTGTCCAACTACAACTAAAAAAAAAAATAAATAAATAAACAAATAAAGCAAAGGTCTCTATGTATACCTGTTATTTACCAGTAGTTTCTTCTTTCACTTTCAGAAGAGCCTCAGCCCTTTATTTGGATCCTGATCAAACAAATTCAGTATATGAATATTTACATTTATATTTATACTTATATGACATTTATGAGAAAAGTAGAAATTATAATACTGATTATCTATTTGATTAAACTGAATTATTATGTTTTAGAAATGACATTGTTAGTTGTAGTTAAGTATTGCTCCTTGTCATTTAGAGATATATTAAAATATTTTGGTGTCAGATGATGTGATATTTTGAATTTATTTCAAAATAATACTGGAAAGAAAGTGAATGGCATTTTGAATAGGACAGGACTGTTTTGTTTTGTCAGTTGCTGGGCTGACAAATGGGTTGATAGGTGTCCATTGTACTACTGTGTCTACTTTTGTACCTGTTCAAAATTCTCTGTAATAAAAATGTCTTTAAAAAGTGCCTCATATACATAACTAACATAAATACTTTAGTCTAAAACCATTTTTAAAAGGAGGAAGAATTAAGTACTGGATATTTTCCTTTTTAGCTTTATTTCTCATCAAGTCACCCTTAATATTTTACATTCCATCAATAAAAGATGCATTGAGTTTCTCTGGAATAAATGGCATGCTCTTGCACATTCTGTGACTCTGACCTAACCCCAGCAGTTTGGAATATTCTTCCCAGTTCTTCTCCTTAATGTTTCAAACTCTTCCTTTAGCCTAACCTGGAACTCCACTTTGGTATACCTTTTCTGAGCTTCCAGAGCATGGAGTATATCTTATCACACTGTGTAATAAACTGCATATATATATATATATATATATATATATATATATATATTCCTTATAAACAACCCTAACATTCCAACCCATTCTCCATATTTTTCCAGAGCAAACTTTATAAATGAAAATGTCATATCAACCCTTGATTAAACCCCTTCCAGTGACCCTTCATGAAAAGGCAGCACCCACCTGTTTCTCCTCCTACACTCCCATGGTTGCTTTCTTCATTCTGCAATAGTAATCATTTGAAGTTTCATTTATTTGGTCTCAATTCCTCACTTCCATTTGTTTCTGGGATGATATTCTCTACTATGCATCTAACTCCTAGTTAGCTTCACAGGTCAGCTATGATTTTCACTTTTCCAATGCAGGACATTCTGGTCAAAGCCCCTCCTCCAAGCGCCAACCTGGACATATCCTCGTCTTATATCTAACAAAGTAATTGTCTTTGCCTGTTCACTATTCCTTTTCTCCCAGTAAACCAGCAACTCCTTTAGTGCACAACCAGTCCTACTCATCTCAGTATCAACAGAACAGAGTCATGTAGGCACATGTTGAGCCACAATGAATAGAGATCAAATGGAAGCATTAAATTAATATGGTTTGCCCACCTCACCGCAAGCAAATGGTAACTGTGGGGAGGCCACAGTCACAGTTTTAAAGACAAACCAAGGCTATTTCAGGGCCAATGCATTCAGGCATTCACACAGTTCACCCACCCACTCATCCACTATTCAGTATTCAGTTAAGATGATCCTGGCACTTACTCTATTAGGCTCTAGGGACCAGTGGTATGCAAAAGGTAAGGGCTTGTGCTCTCACAGAAGCTGAAAGTTTAATTGAGGCGACAGACATTGACCAAACAATCACACCTAAAAACTTATACTAACAAATAACCATAAATATTCCAGAGGACACAAAGAAAGAAATGGAAGCATTCCGCAGAAGAATCTGCTGTAATCTGGTGGCAGAGGTGGGATGGTGGGGTAGTAGGGGAGAAAAAGGAAGGTTCCACAGAGGACGTGACATTTACTAAGGACTAAATTGAAATCAAGAAATGGTATTTATCATTAATGATTTTCTTCAAAGGGGCATAGATGGCAGAACACATTGAGCTGTGCTTAATGGCAACTCACATATTAAAAGAGAGCTAATAAACAACATTTATATATATTACCAACCATATATATTACATATAATACATATAATTACATATATATGTACACATATATTATAATCATATGTATTTAAAATGATTGTCTAAGCAAGACCATTTTTTCCCCCAATGTCTGGAGATGGCAGCCCACCATGCAGCCTGCTCTGAGGAATACACAGTGTCTAATGCTTCCTGGCACACTATCTGAAATGCCAACTCTTTTGGAACTGTGGTCGTCATGGGGAAGAGCAAAACTTTGACAGTGGAGAAGGATTATTTCCAATGACTTAAGCACACAGGACAACTCTTTACTCCTTAAATGCCTTCTGCACCTCTACTTTGACTGTTAATTCCATCTTAATTATTGTTC